TCAATTTTATCAAAGACATCCATGTAAAAATCAATATCTAAATCGTGTTCAGCACCTTCTCCAAAATAATAAAGATGTCTCAACACTGGATCATCTTTTGTCTATTATTATTTATTATATAAATAAATAAAATTTTAAAATTGATGAAGTTATCATTATTAAATCACAACCATCTTCTTTAGTTGTTGTTATTATTATTATACCTTAATGTTTCTTATAATAGGAGTCCATATTGCGTATTTTGGAATGGGTTTAACATGAGGAATTGAAAATAGTCGGGGATTTACAAACTTACTCTTAACAGATCCATCTGGTTGGAAATCCTTACAAATCAATAAAAAAATAAATAATCAAATTTAATCAATAAAGCATAGCAATGGAAAAAAAATCAATTTTTACTTGAAATTTCAACGTGATTGATTTTTTTCCCATTGAATCATTGCTCCTGCTGCTACTGCTACTTTCTCGAGAACCTTTAACTCTCAATGACTTGGAATGATCAGAAAATGCACTTCTTTTTGATGATTTTAATTGTTCCTCAAGAATTCTCTCATTTTCCTCTAGTAATTGTTTGATTTTTTGTCTATTAAGTTCAATTAGTTCCTTCAAAAGATTATCTTAAATAATAAGTTAGATGAAAAAAACACGTTTGTTAAGCTAGATTTTTTATGAAGAATAATCAACCTCGCTCTTAACTTCCTTGTATTGGAAATGTTTCAATGCTATGTTGACATATTGCTCTGCGAGTTTGTCTTTTAGGTCTTGATTATTATTCATTTTAAAATATATTTTTTTTTTTACTCGTGAAAAATGAAAAAACAGTGAGACGTGTTTTTGATAATCAAATCGTTACACAGCAACTTTTGTCACTCGATACATTTTCTTAAATTTATATATGTTGATCACCCGGTTTTTATTTAGTTTCTATCGTTGATCAGCTGACCATGAATTAAAAATTATAAAACAGGATTTATTGAAGTGACGTCCAATCGTTTTTTGGACATGTAACCTAGATTCTTTCATTATATTAATACTGTGATATGTAAAAGTTGTTAACTCATAAGCATGAAACAATCAAAAGCTACTACTACTATTGGCAATGTAAATATCGATTTCAATTATCGATTACGAAAAATTAATCCTATCTTATAAGAGCTTTTAATTTTTGACATGTTATTATTGTATATATTGGGTAAAGGAGAAAAATGTTACATGCTTAGTTAAGAGTAAAAGTTTCTAAAATTTTGGGTAAATTTACTAATACTAATAATAATCCGAAAAACTCAAACCTGACCCGAAATCCAAAAACTTTTTGGACTGTACCAATTATGCTTGAGGTCAAAATTATTAAATTGCAACTAAAAATCCCAAAAATTTGCATCGCACCACCTATTACTATCATAATTTTATACAACTGACACAAGATGCAATTCGTGATGCAAGTCCCAATTCATG